TCATTATTAGGGTTAGTTAAATAATTTAGCTATAAATACCCATGTATCTTGTTATTGAGATATCAATCAAGAATTAAGAAATTACTCTTCTCAAACCCTAGTTCTCTCCCCCTCAAATCTCGTCTTCTTCCGCCCCTCCTTGACTTTCTTACTTCTTTTCCCAAATTCTTCATCTTCTTCCCCTAATTTCTCAATTTCTCTTCCCTGTTTCGATACGATATCGTATCAATTTCACCAGGAAAGAATTTCATTGATAATAGCCCACTTCCATGGTGTTTATCTCAAGAGAACTATAACCAAATCAAACAAGCTCATCAAGTATCCTCCACTTTTGTGGTAGGACTTGAGAAGGAGACTCACAACTAGGATTTTAAATACCGATTCCTCGGTGATTTAGAATCCACTCTGGAATACAAGAATGCCACTACGGCCAACAACGACATCCAAGAATGAATAGAATAATCTCCACAAACATCCCTAAGCTAAAATCTCATGTTTCACACTAATCCATCAACAACAAACACTAATCAACAATTCATCACCTAACCTAAGCTAGAACAACTAGCGTAGCATGCTAAATAAGAGAAAAACAAATCTAAGGGATGCCTAAAATAAAATAAGAGACTAGCAAATAAATAAAAACAAAGATGAGATGCAAGAAAATAAAATCTACATTAAAAAGCAAGTATATAATTCTAAAGAGTAAAATTTAAGGTTTGGAGCTCTCAAAATAAAAATATAAGATGAATTAGGAATAAACCCTAATCTAAGAACGTGAAATGAAGATATGGGGGAGCCCCCTTGATAAAATGGAGCTAGGGGTATAAATACAGAGTAGGAGAAATTAGGAGTAAAATGACACCTAACTCGCATAAGGGTAAGGGGAATTTACCTAAATAACACTAAAACATAGTGACTTTCCAATGTGTAGTACCATATGTTTTTATTTCCCAATGTAGTACCACTGTTCAATATCTACTGATCATTGTTCAAGTAAATGTCCATCGCCACTGGACATTGTTCAAACTAAATGCCCAACATTAGTAGACATTGTTCCCGCCACTAGACATTATTCAAGTACTATTTAGGGAATAAAAAAGTTTAAGTACTACATTGGGAAAGGACATATGCTTTAGTACTATTTAGTGCGAATTTCACTAAGGGTAAATGTTAAGAATTAATATAGTGAAGGGACCAGGGGTAAGGACGTCATTTCAGCTCCAAGATTGAATCTACTTCATACTTCTTCTTCGAGCCGGGTTTGTGGATCGAGACACCAGAGGTGGTTCATTGCTGGAGCTGGATGTCTAATGTGCAAGGGAAGGACATCGAAGGTGGTTGGAGCTAAAGAATCGCGAGGTCGATGTTGATGATTTCTACCCGACGTCACCCTATTCCATCTATCCTTGCTGGTGCTAGAGTCGGAGAAGATGCTTCTAATATTTTTTTGTGCTCGCCGAGATGGAGGGAGAGTCATCGTCAGTAATTACTTATCGAGCTTGCTGGTGACCGTCGAAGAAGAAGGTCCGGGTCGGGTCACTTGTCGCGACTGCGATGTGGGTAGCGTAGCCTCCCCTTTGCATCTAATCTGAATTGGGGAAAAAGGCCGGTGGGCCGTGCACAATTGGCAAAGGCATGAAGTGTCAAGGGGACTCGAGTTCGAATCATGGCAACTACGCTAGGAGACAACTATGCTAAGCATAGGACCTCTGGAAGTACTAGGTACAGGTTCAACTCTTTTCCACCAATCTACGATCAAAGTCCAATTTACCTTCTCTTAATGACCGTCCGTCCGGGTCTGAGGGGGCCCTCGGTGATGGGGCTCATCATTTTTTAATCGAGAAAAAAGAATTCATTTCTAAAAGTTATGCATTAGCCCCACTAAATCGAAAGATACTTGCAATTTTGCCCCTCCACTTGTATCTAGACCCTAAAATCAACCAATCATCATAAATCAGTCCAAATTCACATATTTGATGAATAGTACACAATTAACTCTAATTAATATTAAAATCTAAGCCAATGAGTCTTATCAAGAGATAATAGAATATACACAAATAACGGACTTATCAAAAACCCCTAGTCTCGTAAAATAACACCAACACGCCCATGAAGAAATAACGCCATCCCCTCTTGTAAGCTCCCAAAATACCTAGCGCACTTCAAAAAATGTCTTCGTACGGTACATCATGCCACACCCTCTGGCTTCTATGTTCACCGGGTTCTAAATTTAAAATGTCTCGTGCAATTGGTCCCGAATATACATTATTTCCTTCACAATTTATAATTCTACAATAACAAGATCTTATGCCTAAAAACAAAACATTTAGTAAGAGTTTTATGATCTTAAAATAATTTAAACAACAAACTCAAACACAAAAAATACATATAACATGAAACAAAACCACGAATCATAGAAATACATAGAACATAAAAGAAAAATTCAAAATTAAAATTGAATTACATTTTCTATAATGAATTTATGAAAATTATAAAGTTTGGAGTGTATTTAAACATGGAAAATAGAAGCATTACTTCCGTATTGAGCGCAGTTCTCCAGCGAGACTGCCCTTCTTCTTTCTCTTCTCTCAGGTCTCTATCCACATGCTACTGATATTTTTTGGATGGGAAACATAGGGTTTTGGTTGGGGAGTTGGATGGGCAGAAATGTATTTAAGCAAGACAGTAGTAACACCTCCGTCTTGCCATGTGTCGACCCAGCTTTTTAGGTGATAGTTTTTTCTTTTTCTAATTTTTTAAATTACAAAATAGAGGTACTACTTCCGTCTTGCCATGTGTCGACCCAAAGTTTTTTAGGTGACAATTTTTTCTTTTTCTAATTATTTTTTAAATTACAAAACGGAGGTACTACCGTTTGGGAAGACTTTATCCTGACATGTATTGATCAGAATACCTCTTTAGTTTCCTACATATATTGGCAGTTAATTCATAATACAATAGGGTAGTATTTGGAAACTAGAATTCATTTGAAATCTCAGATTTCAATTCCAACATTTGAAATTCCATAATTTCAAATTCTCAATGCTGTTTGGGAAGTCATAGAATTTTGATTCTAGAATTTGAATTTCGAAGTCGGAAAAGATGGTAATGGAATCAGATTTATTTGTATGGAATTGTTATTATATAAGAGAAGATCACTTTTTAATTACAATTTTTAAATTAAATAAAAAAAGTTTGAATTTGTAAATGACATGGGGAGGGGTGTGGATTTGTAGTCGAGTTAGTTTTGAATTAAAAGAATTTGGTTCAAATCCAAATGCTTTGAATTCCCAAACAAGTAATTTGGATAAAATCTGGATTTGAAATCCAAATTCAAGTTTCCAAACACACCATAATATATTTTATATTTTAAAATTGACAAATAAATTATTATAAATATACTAAACCACAAATAGTTATAAATAATAATTTGAATGAATATGAGGTTAACATTTATAGATAATAATTTGAAACTTAAAAAAAATAAAAATATACCATACAGATTAAACAAAAAACTGAAAGGATTCATTTAAAAAAACAAAATAGAGATAATAGGAAAATAGGAGTAATCATTTGTACCCCAGGATTATTCAACGGCAAAAGTAAATAATAGATAAATTTTTATCTTTCTCTCACATGTTTTCCCCGATGCTAATATTTTCTCCTCTTTTCTCTATCCTCTTTTCCCCTTTAATCTCGGATGATTTCCCCAACTTTTTCTTTTGTCACTTCATATTTTCCTCAAGCATTTGCTCTCAATGAAGGATGCTCTTATTTTCTTTTCTTTTCCATTTCAAATTTCTTGAACGAAACATAGTGCAAGAGTATAAGGCAAAGAAAATAACATTCCCTCTCCATAGTAGCATTGCTTAAAAGATTGAACTACTTTTGATGACAAAATAGGAATGAAGAAGTTGCACTGCACAAAATGAGAAGTATACTCTACTCGTAGTATACAAACAAAATGAGATTCTAAGATCTACCAAAATGAGAAGTATACTCTACTCGTAGTATACAAACATTGATGATCTCTATGCGCTTGCAGGTCTTCAGTTGTTTGAAGATGAACTCAACAACTTCGACTAGCGGGGCTTTCCTTCCTTCTTTGAAGTTCCATTTTTCAGGGACCACATAACTTCCGCTCGAATTGTACTCATTAATCTCTTCCAATGCTTTGGTTACTAGAGCACATATTTCATCCCCCCATTCTTCCTTGAGCTTGCATAGCTCTTCATCTTCCTCGATTATCACTCGCTGTGTTTGAAATATAACAATATACATATGAAGAGAATTTCAGAAATAAAAATAGGTTAAATAGCTTTAATGAATGAGCAAACCTTTGCAGACTTTTCATCAACTTTGATGATTTTGAATGGATGCCACTGAGGGTTATTCACTTTATCTTGCCATATCGAACATAATTCGAAGGCCTTCACATTGGCCTCATTTCTTGAATACCTTTGCTTCCAGGTAGGTGTTCTAGGTGTTCTGGATGGCTTTCGAGTCTATTTCTCCCATCCGTTTTACCCCAATATGAGAAGGACCATTGTTCAATACATCTCTCAAGCCCTTCAACGAATAAATAGAATCCACCGTTCAGTTTTCCCAAGGATTATAATCGTTATATGAAATGACTGAACTCTAGACCAAGATGTAGATGTGTGAACTATAGAGTAAATGATATCAGCTTGATGCTCAAGGATTTCAAATTGAGTCAAGTGAAAGTACATCTACCTGAGTAAGTGCTTTACGAGTATCTTGCAACTCATTATTACTCTGATGCTCCTTTAAAACGAGTAAGCTATACATATAATCTAACCCTTCCTTTTCATCCACTTTTAATTGAAGTTGATCAGTTATCTCCGTGAGTTTTCCCTATAAATCTACATCATCAATGTCCATTTCAGGTTATATTGTATCAACCAAATCTTCTAGGTTTAGCTTGAGATCCTTGACTTCCTTTTCCATCATAAGTCTTTGTTCGTCATCAAAATCCTTTTCCACCATATGTTTATATCTCTGGGAATTTAGATTACAGGGAAGAAGTTATATAAAACTCCATCCAACACACCTGTAACACCCTCCATCCCGCGAACCCGGTTCACCGCGCCCAACGAGCCGGAGAGGTTACGTAGACGGTTTTTAGGACCATCTACAAGGAAAACCCTTGCGTTGCTCTTGTAACTAAAAACTCTTGGTATGCTTAATTAAATGATGGAAATAAATTACTTTAAAGAGAATTTCTCGTAGCGGAAGTAAATGTAAATAATGAACGTAAAGTCATAAATTATGAAGTAAGTGCAACAACGGTGGGTTCAAGCCCAAAACGTTTTTCATAATCAATTAGATAGTTAATCGGGTCCCCACTGTCGTGGATCCGCTGCCCCGATATCCCAATCATCCGGGTCCGGCTCCATGTTTGTCTTGCCTACCTGCGTATAGCAAAGACAACGCTATACGCTCAGCAAAAGCTGAGTGGTAATCTAACAGTAGAATGCATAGTACATTCACATTGATATAAACATAATTGTACCTGTACTAAAGTACAAGATACCACATACAAATTTGATGAATTAAAGTTTACGTATTAACAGTGATGCAATGCCAAATAATTCATGATGCATGAGTTAGACTACGCAGGGACCCCCTACCCTTCGGTGATCATCCCCACGCGGTAGATGAGCCGAGGAACGCCTTAGCCTTCCCGATGGAGACTAGAAATGTGGGTGATAGCTGAAGCCTAGCTACCATGTACATACACAAGCCCTCGTGATGAAAACCCGTTGGATCCCGCAGGTTCCTAGACAGGCCCGCAGAAGAGGCGCACTAGGCCTGACCTCTTGTCGCGGTATGCAAAGTATGCCATGATCCTAAACATGCGTCTAGGATATACATGATGATATGAATGCATTGCTTAATGAATGAAGTTCAACACAAACATATAGGTTTTTTTCCATATGAAATGATTTGTACAAAATGATGGCCTTGGGTTTAGAACTGGCCGATAATCGATTATTCACTTCTAATAATCGATTATCACGCATTTCAGCTTCTGTTCCAAAGTCCTGCAGACTATGATAGTCGATTGTCACCCTCTGACAATCGATTGTCAAGCTGTTTTGTCCAGGAAACCCAAGTTCAGAGAGGTCTGATAATCGATTATTGCTCTATGATAATCGATTATCAGTGGAACCAACTCTGACTCAAGAATCCGCAGGGCCTGATAGTCGATTATCACATTCACTTTCTACTTGGCTCTCCTAAGATTGTGTGTCATGTCAGAAGTCTATTCTGTGCCTTTCAGTTTCCATTTGAAACATTTGAAATTTCTATCAATTGTTGGTCCCAAAACTATAACTCTCATTATTTGATATCTTTTGCCCTTCGAAATATCATGGATTAAAATGGCTGGATCATTTTCCGTCATTGTCTTGTAGTCAGGCATCTCCAATTGAAATATGTCATTCTCCTCATTGAATTCTTTCTGTAATGCATCCATAATTTTAAAAATCATTTCAATCTCATTAGGTTGACTGGTCAAAAAATTGTCCTTGCCCCGTGTTTCTTCTTGTTCAAGGTCAATGGTGGTTTTTAACTACCCTACCCCATAGGGGCCATTATTTTTTCTCCTCCACAGTCTAGAACGGGCATATGAAGCTGTTACGTGACTATTACTATTATTATTATTATATTATTATTATTATTATTATTATTATTATTATTATTGTAGGTAAGGAATTATTTATAGTTAGATAATTATTATTAGAGAATATTATTTTTGTTAGGTTCTTAATTAGTTTCTTATTTTATTTAGTTTCCTTTTAGAGATTGGATTCCCTTAGGCTTTTAGAGTTTCACTCTATATATTGAGATGTATTGCTTTAGAATTAAATCAATAAAGAACAATCATTTTCCAACCCTAATCTCTTCCTCTTATCTCTCGTTCTTCTCTTCCGCCGAACAAAGATTCGCGGTTCTCTCCCTCTTCTCGTCTCTTTTTCTCTTGGAGCTTGAAGAACGCTCGAAATCCTTCTCTATCCCGATACGATCCCGTATCAATTGGTGCTCTCATTGAGAGCACCAATTGATACGGGATCGTATCGGGATAGAGAAGGATTTCGAGCACCTTCAAGCTCCAAGAACAAAAGAGGCGAGAAAGAGAGAGATTAAGGTTTAGGGGGAAGTATTTTTTTTATTCATTGATAAATAATTCATTGAAATGGATACATTTATAGGTAAGACATCTAAAGAATCCTTACCATAGAAGGAAACTAAATAATCTAGGAATCCTAATTATAAATGGTAACAAATATCCTAACAATAGAATATTACTTTCTAATAATGATATAATTAACTAACCATAAATAATAATACTACCTAATATAATAATAATAACCACTAACCATTAATAATAGTAATAATAATAAAAATAATAATTAATCCCGTATCATAAGAATTGGATTTAATTTAGCTAATGAAATGCTCGAACTCAGTCTTAGTGAAAAATTGATAAAAGGGAACCTGAGAGATTAAGCCCAAACTTAAAGAGATGAGCGCCGATCTAGGGTTAATACCCTGAGTCCGTCGAGATGGCGCATAAATTACTTAGTCGGATGAGTCTGGAGGAAGACGACAACGGTAGCTTCTGATTTCAACAGAGACGACGCTTGAGACGATGTTGGAGATGGCGAGACGGGTCGCAAAAACTAAACGGA